GGAGGGCTCCAGATCTTATCACGGCAACAGTGCTGAGAGCAGAGGAATCAAATCTTCTCTCTGCTGCCAAGTGCATCACCCTTTCCCCCCTCCCCCTCTAAGTCACCCTTCCCAAGCTGTGCCTGGTCGTGACAGGGATTCTGGATTCTCTTGTGGGGCGAACAGAAATTTTTGAGGGAAAACAGTCTTCCTGCTTTCCACTTCTGCAGCCAAACTGGCAGCCTCCTGTGGCTGCTTTAAATCAGAAACAAAGCTGTGGAGAGACAGGGGTACAATTTCTACTGAAACGGCCTCTTTGTTGCCAATCAGTTCGGTGCCTGCCAAATGCACTTTTTGCATTGTACTTATTTGTAATGACAAACACAAAGAGACAGAAACAGGGTTTTAAGCCTTTCCCCCCCTCCCTTTCTTTTTTGGGCTGGAAGGCAAAGAATGTTTTACCACATGTAAAAGAGATGCGATGCTGGCACCTTGCACACACCGTGCCTGAAAATCTAGTTGCTATTATAGGTAGTCCTCAACTTACAACAGTTCATTTAGTGACCATTCAAGGTTACAGTGGCGTTGAAAAAAGTGATTTATGACCGTTTTGCACACTTACAACCATTGCATTGTCCCCAGGGTCATGTGATCAAAATTCAGATGCTTGGCAACTGACTCATATAATAATAATAATAATAATAATAATAATAATAATAATAATAATAATAATAATAATAATAATAATAATGATGATGATGATGATGATGATGATGATGATGATGATGATGATGATGACGACGACGACAACGATGATGATAAAGTTGGAAGGGACCTTGGAGGTCATCTAGTCCAACCTCCTGCTCAGGCAGGAAACCCTATACCATTTCGGACAAATGGCTGTCTAGTCTCTTCTTAAAAACTTCTAGTGTTGGAGCATTCACAGCTTCTGGAGGCAGGTTGTTCCACTGGTTAATTGTTCTAACTGTCAGGAAGTTTCTCCTTAGTTCTAGGTTGCTTCTCTCTTTGGTTAGTTTCCATCCATTGCTTCTTGTCCTGCCTTCAGGCGCTTTGGAGAATAGCTTGACTCCCTCTTCTTTGGGGCAGGCCCTGAGATATTGGAACACTGCTATCATGTCCCCCCTCGTCCTTCTCTCCATTAAACTAGACATACCCAACGATCATTATGACCATTACAAGGTTCTGGGGTTATGTGATCTCCTTTTGCGGCCTTCTGACAAGCAAAGGCCAGATTCGCTTAACAACGGGGCTACCAACTTAACAACTGCAGTGATTCACTTAGCAACTGTGGCAAGGAAGGTCCTAAAATGGGGCAAACCTCACTTAACGAAGGTTTCACTTAACAACAGAGATTCCAGGCTCAGTTGTGGCTGTAAGTTGAGGACTACCTATACAAGTTGAGGACTACCTGTAAGTTGAGGACTACCTATACAAGTTTATTTTATCCGTTTTTTTCACCCCCTTTTCCTTTTGAGGGAAGCTGCTGGTACTTCAAACACACACATAACAGAACAGCGATGGTGAACCTTTTAGAGACCGCCCCTGCCCCCCACCCACCCACAGGGCCACCCACCGCCTCCACAGCCCACCGCAGATTGCCCAGGCAGCCCAGCAACGCCATGGCAGCCACGCCCTCTGCCCGCGCCCCACAGCATCATCTGCGCACGACAGGGCGACAGGGCATGAGTGCAGTGTCTTGTCCCCACTGCCATGTCTTTGGCTGCTCGGGGGTGATTCTCCTCCAGAGGGGCTGCTGGTGAGGAGGGGGCCGTGTGGGGAGGCGGGGCTGGGGCGATGGCGCGCGTGCCCACAGAGAGGGCTCTGACTGCCGCCTCTGGCACGCATGCCATAGGTTCGCCACCACTGTAATAGAACATTGCACATTTCCCATTACAAAGTAAAAAAAAAAACCACGAGATTTCTTTGAGTGCAGCAGGACATTCTTTTGTGCCTGCCTAACTTTACCTAGAAAGGCACCCTTACCATGTTAAGAGTACTTAATTAAGATACCTGCTCTACAGATAGTCCTCAATTTACGACCATTCATTCAGTGACAGGTCAAAGTTACAACAGCATCAGAAAAATGCAGCATACAACCTGTACTCACACTGACAACCATTGTAACACGGTCATGTGATCACAATTCAGGCACTTGGTGAGGCCCATTGAAGAACCACCCCAAAAATTGTCGTAAAATTGGATCGAAGTCAACTTACAACCTCAACAAGTTACCATGGGAATTCCAGTCTCAAATGTGGTGGTAAGTCAAAGACTACTTGTATAATATTTGTGTGCAGACTTATAGCTCTGTGACACACACACACACACACCTCGTATCATCCCCAGCAGCCTCCCAAAGTTTCATTCAGTTGTAATTATTAAGTTGGCATGAAGAAAAAACTATCAAATATATGGCAAAGGATAATTTTAAGTTTAGGTTAGATTAGATAACCTTTATTGTCATTTTTTTTTACTGTGGACACAACGGCACACATTAAAAATGAAAATTTAGTTGCTTGCTCTCAAAGTATACACCTACATAACACACATTTAAACATACTATATACAACATATGTATAGACCTACACCCTTACATATAAGCAACATATAAATATTATTCACTGTCCATCTTGAATACGTAATGGAAGGAGGAAGCTTTCGAGTTTACAAGTTTAATGCTGTCTGGAACAAAGCTGTGACTGAATCTGGATGTTCTGCTTCGGATACCACGGAGCCTCCTCCCAGAAGATGATTTATTTATTAATAAATTAATTTATTAATTTTTAAATCAATGTAAATACAACTGAAAGGAAATGTCTTTGCCCTACCTGTTATTTTTTTGGGGTGCTCCCCAAACCCCAATGAGCCTTCAAAAGCCAACTCTGTCCAACAGCCTGAGGGAAAAAAATTCTTCTATATTCCACAGGTGTTAAGCAGCACTGAAGCTCTGTGCATCCCTCTCCAACTTCTTTTTATGCCACTACCCTAGCTTACTTTTCAGCTACCACCAAATTTGAATTAAAAATTACGTAGGTTCAGGTAAGGTGGAAAGCAATGAAAAAGGAGAAAAAAATCATTTTAAAACGATAGCTTGAGTTTTAAAAAGAGTTTTTTCTTTCACCGTGACATGCTGTTTCACTGTGCCCACTTCTTCCTAGCCTCCTTTTCGTGACGCTTTCCAGAAAACCCATGGGAACCCGTCAAAGCTAGCATATATTCTCCTACGGTGGCTTTTTAGGAGACTAAATCAGCTCCAGCCACTGTCAGGTCCCCAAATCCTTATTGTCTTCCTTGCATATGCATTCTTGTGCTCTTGTTTTGGGGCCTGCCATTCTGCTGGGGGGAGGGGGGATAATTGCTTCCGCTTGGGATAACTTCGCTTTCTACTTTTCCTCTCCCGCCTCTATCCACTTGAGAAAGGAATGTGTGTCTCCCTTATCAGGGAGATGGTTGTAGAGAAATGAAAGACCTTGAGAGCCAGCTGTGTCAGTTACCCAAACATTGTGCCACCTGTGGATTGGCTCGATTTCAAATGGACATTATGATTCTGGTGGGAGGAGGAATATTGCTGGTTTAAACAGTATAGTTCAGTGGTGGCGAACCTATGGCACGGGTGCCAGAGGAGGCACTTGGAGCCCTCTCTGTGGGCACACGTGCCGTTGCCCCAGCCTTGCCTCCCTCCGTGACCCCCTCCTCAGCAGCAGTCCCCCTGGAGGAGAGTCGCCCCTGAGCGTGGCCCACGCAGACCAGCGCAGCCAAGGACATGGCAGCCAGACAGTGTAGACAAGAATCTGCCCTCATGCCCCATCGCGCACAGTTGATGTTGCGGGGCGTGGGCAGAGGGCATGGCCACCATGGCGCCACTGGGCTGCCTGGGCGATCTGCGGCAGGCCCTGGAGGTGGCGAGTGGCCCTGCGGGCAGGTGGGATGGGGGCGGGGCAGGGGCGGGAGTGGGGCCAGTTTTGGGGCACTTGGTTTCTAAAAGGTTCGCCATCACTGGTATAGTTCAAGGGTAGGCAACCTTGGCTCTTTTATGACTCATGGACTTCAACTGCCAGAATTCCTGAGCCACCATGGCTCAGCTTGGAAACCTCTCCCTTTTCCCTCAGCATGGCTGGCTCAGGAATTCTGGGAGTTGAAGTCCACGAGTCATAAAAGAGCCAAGGTTGCCTACCCCTACCTGAACTATACCGTTTAAGCGGAATTTTCCTCAGATCTCGCCTTGACTTCCCTATTGTCACTAACCCCTAATAAAAGTTCCCTTTTGAGACAATGCCTGTTTCAAGAGTTCTGCTTTTTTGGGTGGTTAGCTGAGGTGGGTCCTTACAAGCACTACATAAGAACAAGATTATCAACAGGGGTGGGGAGGACAGTACTCGTTTTGCAGAAGTGATGAACAGCTCAGGAAAAGGGGGCATTCAAGTGGGCAGGAAAATTGTCAATGTGGAACAGAATGGGATGTCCGCCTGGCTAAAACTTCAACTTATAAAGGTAGAACAACTGGTTTCCCCAATGTCTGGAGTCCAGTCAAGGCAACTACTGTACAGGTGGTCCTCGACTTACAACGGTTCATTCAGTGACCGTTCAAAGTTATAATGGCATTGAAAAAACGGACTTATGACCATTTTTCACACTTATGACCTTGTAGCACCCCCATGATCATGCCATCAAAATTCAGACCCTTGGCAATTGGTTCATAGTTATGACTGCTGCTGTGTCCCAAGGTCACAGGATCCCTTTTGCGACCTTCCGATAAGCAAAACCAATGGGGAAGCCAGATTCATTGAACAACTGTGTTACTAACGTTATCAGCTGCAGTGATTCACTTAACAACTGTAACAAGAAATGTCATAAAATGGGGCAAAACTCACTTAACAAATGTCTCACTTAGCCACACAAGTTTTTGGGTGCGGTTGTGATCGTTAGTCGAGGACTGCCTTGTACTGTCCCTTCTCTAGCTCACTATCAACCCACCAAAATGAAGTAATTTGGCCACCTACCTTTCTCAAGGGCTGAGATGCCCATTGAAGCCTGAGCCAGGTCTGCTTTCTTCTCCCACCTGCCTTCATCTGTGTGGTAGACTTCGACGGAGGCCAGGGGTCTCTGTGTGGAGTCAACTCCACCAATCACCAACACTTCTTTGCCAAGCATCACGGCCGCTGCCCCTGCCCGTGGGGTGGGCATAGAAGGTAACGCTATCCACTTGTGGGAAACCACATCCAACATTTCCAGCGTGTCCAATGGCTGACCCTGCTGGCTGCACCCCCCCACCACAAAGAGGTGTCCATCCTGATAGGTTGGGCTGCAATAGACCCGACACGTAGGCATGGGTGGGAAGGTCTCCCAGAAGAATGACTTGGTGTTGGCTGCTTCCATTTTGCCCAAGGGCCTGGCATCTCAGGAGACAGACATGGGAATTGTCCCTGCAGCAAATTGGTGCCTCAGCATGGCAACTTTCTGCATTGGGTCCCCGAGACCGGGAAAGATTCACCTGAAGCAAGTCGAAGGACTTATTTCTTCCACCTTTGGAACTCCACATCCACAAAGACTGAGGGGGTTGGGAGGAAGATCTGACTGCCAGGAGAGGCCAGGGTGCCCCAAGGAAGCAGGCAAAGACTGCCGTGATGACCAAGGGACGGGGTCTCCACAGGAGAAGGAACCATTCCTCTCCAGAATGGCTAGGAATAACTTGAAGGAATGGATGGTCCAGACACCGAGGGTGGTCGATAATGCTGGAGGTCAGCCCCTAACTATAAGTGGTCAGCCAGTCTCAGAAACCAGGACACATTCAGGAGGTTCTCCTGAATGAAGTCGGTACCTCAGTGTCTCTGTATTGATGTTGAGTTCTGCTGCAGAGAGAGAGAGAGAGAGAGAGAGAGATAATGCACAAAATCACTGGCTGCTAAGGAAGCCAGTTCAAGAAATTTGATTATACTGAAAATCACTGACACTGGATTAAAAGCTAGCTCCCAAATTAAATCCCTCAAGCTTCCATCTGTCCTTCACACCTAGGCAATAATCCTAGATCAAGCAAGCAGAAAGAGCTTCAACAGAGTAGCTTTCAGTTTGGATTTCATAATAGCACTTTCATACATCCCATGGACTCCATTTAACATCCCAGGTCAGTGATGGCGAACCTTTTAGAGACCGAGTGCCCAAAAACTGGCCCCACCCCTGCTCCACCCGTCCTGCCCTCGCTCCACCCCTACCCCGCCTGCCCGCAGGGCCACTCACCATCTCCAGGGCCCACTGCAGATCACCCAGCAGTGCCATGGCGGCCACGCCCTCTGCCTGCGCCCCGCAGCATCAACTGTGCACGATGGGGCTTGAGGGCAGAGTCTTGTCTACTCTGTCTGGCTGCCATGTCCTTGGCTGCACTGCTCCACGTGGGCCACGCTCGAGGGTGACTCTCCTCCAGGGGGGCTGCTGGTGAGGAGGGAGTCATGGGGGAGGCAAGGCTGGGGCAACGGCATGTGTGCCCACAGAGAGGGCTCCGAGTGCCGCCTCTGGCACCCGTACCATAGGTTTGCCACCACTGTCCCAGGTGGTCTTCTCCTGGGGAAAAAAAAGTATCTCTCCTGAGAATGAGTTGTTCTGCAAAAGTCTTCTTTGAAAAGCCGTGCCATTCAGGAATAGTTTAAGATGAGGGTCAGGACTTGGATGGAGGAAATTGTAAGGACCTGCCTCAATTAGGTTCCCAAGAAAGCAGAGCTCTTGAAACAGGCATTGTCTCTAAAGGAACTTTTATTAGGAGCTAGTGATAGCAAGGAATCAAAGCGAGGTCTGAGGAAAAATCCCCCCCACACAGTATATCAAAAGCCATATTCTCCCCGCAGGGTCCCAATGTCCATTTGAATCTCAGCCAATCCACAGGTGGTATATTGTTTTGGTAACTCAATTTCATTGCCCTCTGGCTCCAAGCGCAAACTGTAGGTCAGATAAGGATGATGTTATTCGGCTGCATTCCTTCCCCTGGGGGAAGAGCAACGTGGCAAGGCAAGGCAAAGCACCCCCCCCAAAGCATCCCCCCTCCCAACAGAATGGCAGGCCTCCCAAAATGGCTATAGAAGCATGTATAGGATAGAAAGAAGAGTAATACATTTCTTTGGGGATCTGACAGAAATCCAGGGTCATCACCATTCTGTCAGGGACTCCCTGGGTAACTCTAGGACAGTGTTTCTCAATCTTAATTAAGAACTTGAACTTAAAGTGATGGACTTCAACTCCCAGAATTCCCCAGCCAGCATGTTTATAAGCCAATCGCTCTTCACTCAATCTATCTCACAGATTATGATAAAGCTGTCTGAAATGTGTTGGTGAATTTGTTTGTGAACACAGAATCAGTATCAAAGAGTTATTATTCTGAATTATTTAATGTGCATCTTTTTTCCTCTTTTAAGGAAGAGAGTCCTTTGATTACTAGTCGAGTTCCCAATGAGCTTAATATTTGTATTTATTTATATCCCGCCTATATTATTTTTACAAATAATTTAGGCGACAAACGCATCTCATCCTCCTCCCTCCTCCTATTTTACCCGCAAAAACAACCCTGTAAGGTGAGCTGAACTGAGAGAGAGTGACTGGACCAAGATCACCCAGCTGGATTTCATGGCTAAGGCAGGACTTGAACTCATGGTTTCTTGCTTTACAACAGACATGTCAAACTCACAACGTCACGTGACATCACGCAACGTATCAGGACGGTTTTGCCATTGCCGGCAATGGGATGGGTGCGGCTTCCACGTGACGCATCCGGCCCATAGGCCAGCAGTTTGACACCTCTGCTTTACAGCCTGGTGACTTAACCACTAGATCAAACTGGCTCTCTTAGTTATAGAAGCAACAGCAGCAGCATTTAACTCCTCTTCCTACCCCAGGGAAAAGCATCCATGATGTCCTCATGTCAATATCAGCCAACCTTAAGAAAGTCCTTGTCAAATGTGTAACCAGATACTCCCAGAGGACAAATCATGGCTGTGGGGTATGTTCATATTTTGATGGAAGGACAACAAGTATTGGAAAAAAAGACAAACGTTAAGTAAATGTGAAAGGTGACTACTGCCATTTAGATTATTTTCAAAGCAATTTACTGCAAAATTACGCTAGTGGAATGGGTCACAGAGATCCTTGCTCACTTTCCTTTATTATGGGGGTGTCCAACCTTGGCAAATTTAAGATTTGTGGATTTCAGCTCCCAGAATTTCAACTCCCTAGCATGGCTGGCTAGGGAATTCTGGGAGTTGAAGACCACAAGCCTTAAAATTGCCAAGGTTACACATACCTGCTTGATTATATCTGCTGTAGCCCTAATTCAGGAATGTGACAGCAAATTGTTAATTGGGTTTCTATTGACCTTCCTCTTTCTGATAATAATCTCAGTTGTGAAATAATTATGTTTATGAAAGTGACACCTGGTCTTAAAAACTTAAAAATCAGACAGAAGACAACCGACCATGGGCAACAGTTGAGGGCCTTCTCTTTCATTGACATTCAAGTCCACCAGTCTTGTCACAAGAACACATCTTTAGCCACAAGATTAAGGGAAAGAAGAAATCTCATCTCCTGACAACTCATAAATAACTATGTAGTGAGAATCAATGTCTTTCACTGTCTTATAAATATACTTTTCATCAAGCCACATTGATTGTGAATGGACATATCATACTTCTGAGAAGTCTGAAATTGCTTCTGAAAGAGTATGAAAAGCAACGATCTCTGTTCAGTAATACTGAAAAGATGTCTTAGATGCAATTTAAAAGCAGGATGGTTTGATACTCTCTCTCTCTCTCTCTCTCTCTCTCTTTCACACACACACACACACACACACACACACACACACACAGAGAGAGAGAGAGAGAGAGAGAGAGAGAGAGAGAGAGAGAGAGAAACACATCTATCTATCCTTTAAAATCTTCAGTTGATGGACTCTTGAAAAAACTCTTTTGCTGACCCATGAGATGTGAATGTGTCTGTCAAAGAATGTCTTCTCAGAGGGAGGGAGTGTAAGAAAATTCTCTCCAAAGTAATTTGCAATCAACTTTACAGTATTGCCCTTTTTTGTTGCAGACAGAAATATTTAACAAAAGATTAAGAGACTGGAGGCTAAAACATATGAAGAATGGTTGCTGGAATTGGTTATGTCTAGTTTAATGAAAAGAAGGACTGGGGTGACATGATGGCATGTTCCAATATCTAAGAGGATGCCACAAAGAAGAGGGGTTCAACCTTTTCTCTAAAACATCAGAAGGCAAGACAAGAAGTAACTGATGGAAGATCATTAAAGAGAAAGCCAACCTACAACTAAGCAGAAATTTCATGACAGTGAAAACAATCAGTCTAATGGCTTCCTTCAAAAGTTGTGGATGTTCCATCACTGGAGGTTTTTAAGAAGAGACTGGAAAGCCATTTGTCCAAAACAGTATACGGCAGTGGTGGCGAACCTATGGCACGCATGCCAGAGGTGGCACTCTGTGGGCACACGCACTGTCGCCCCAGCCCCGCCTCCTCACCAGCAGCCCCCCGGAGGAGAGTTGCTCCCGGGCATGGCCCACGTGAAGCAGCGCAGCCAAGGACATGGTAGCTGGGCAGCGGGGACAAGACTCCGCCCTTGCGCCCCGTTGTGCTGCAGGGCACGGGCAGAGGGCGTGGCCGCCATGGCGGTGCTGGGCTGCCTGGGTGATCTATGGTGGGCTGTGGAGGTGGTGGGTGGCCCAGCGGGCATGGCGGAGTGGGGACAGGGGTGGGGGGGCGGTGGTTTTGGGGCACTCGGTCTCTAAAAGGTTCGCCATCACTGGTATAGGGTCTCCTGCTTGAGCAGGGAGTTGGACTAGAAGACCTCCAAGATCCCTTCCAACTCTGTTATTCTGTTATAACTGGAATGTAATGCACTGCTTTTATTTTGTTGTGGCTTTCATATGTATTTACTTAATCACATTCTTCCCGTTTAGGGTAAGCAGGCTTATGCAAAGCATAGACAAGGAGTCAGAATTAATAAGGCAAATAAAATACAGGTAGTCCTCGACTTATGACAGTTGCTTGGCAACTGTTCAAAGTTACTACCAATCTGAAAAAAAGAGATTTATGACCCAGATTTGAAGTTCCGATGGCCCCCTCTGCAGTCCCGTGACAGAATTTCAGAGGCTTGGCAACACGGAAATATTTACAAGCATTTGCACCATCCCGCAGTCACATGGCTGCATTTTACAACAGTTTTGCTGACAACCGGTACTTACTTCTGGTTTTTGGCAAAACTGCGCCCATACCAAACCATTGGTTCTCTTAATGACCAAGGATATGCTTAATAACCACACTGATTCGCTTAACAACTGCCATAAAAAGTCACAATATTGGGTCAATCATTTGACTGAACTGTTTTG